TTCCATGTTTTTTTTTTGTGATAACGACATAAAATGTCGTTATCACGAGAAAACAAGGACCGTTTTCTTGTGATAACGACATAAAATGTCGTTATGACGAGAAAACAAGGACCATTTTCTCGTGATAATGAGTTATGGTTTTCCTTGTTTATCATTCAGTAACCATGAAGATGGCCCGATCACCTCAGCTGGTGACCGATAAAGTTTATTGTATTTATTATATCATCAAGTCCAAGATGACAGTGTAAACGCCTGCTGAGCTGCAGTCTGGCCAGTTGTCTCCTTTAATGACGAGGGCTGATATGAAAGTTATCTGTACATGAGAAACATCACAATTTGAGCCTGATGATACAAAAACACAATTATGAACAATTAATAGGCTGCCTTCAAGCCCAGGACACTCTGGAAAAGAGATCTGAGATCTCAATAATGATTGATGATGGCCGCTCTCGGCTTCCGTAGTTAAGAGCAATAAATATTTTGATTAGCTGCTGCTAATTAAGACAAGGATATGTTGTAAATATTTCTATATGTATGTGAAATTGTGATGTAGGTGATAAAGTTTGTGTAGGTTAAAAATGTTCCTATACAAACAGTAAAAACACAACCAACCATGATGTTTGATCATCATCATCATCATCATCATCATCATCATCATCATCATCATCATCATCATCATCATCATCATCATCATCATCATCATCATCATCACTTTATTTATGTAGCACATTTAAAAACAAGTGTTGACCAAAGTGCTTCACAGACACAATACAATGAAACTAATAATAAGCTGACAACAAATAAAAAGACACAAACTGCAAATTCCTGAGGTAGCTCCAACCGAACGTGAATTAAAAGCCAGTGTAAAAAAGTGAGTTTTTAAGTCAGATTTAAAAGACTGAACAGACTCTGCAGTATGGATCTCAAGAGGTAAGTTGTTCCAGAGTCTGGGGGCCGCCATAGCAAAAACCAGTTCCCCTCCATGCTTTAGTTTTGCCTTTGGCTGCACTAAAAGCATCTGATTAGAAGATCTTAGTTCTCTGTGTGGGGTATAAAAGTGCAACAGGGACAAAAATAACTGGGTGCTAGACCATTTAAAACTTTAAATGTAAGTAAAAGAATCTTAAAATCAATATGAAGTGAACAGGCAGCCAGTGCAAGTTTCATTTTATTTTCAACATGTCAGTCTTCACAAACAAATACAAAAGCTGTTTTGCAGTATGGTATCAAATGGATTCAAAAAGCAATATTGATAAATATTAACTGAAAAGCAAAGTGCTTTGCTTTTCAGTTAAATTTACTTATTCAGTGAGAAAAATCCAGTCTGTCATTTTGGGCTTTAACAAGTGCATCAAAATCTGTCTGAATGCCAGGTGGTGATGCAAAGAACAGCAGAGAGGTGATCGTCAGTGACACAGGGTCTGGATTTGTTGAACTTCCTCACTGAAAATGTCTGTTCACATATGTAGGTAGATCCTTATAGCTGCTATGACTGCTTTTTTTGAAAGTAAACTAAAAAAACGTCATTGGTGGGCCATAACATATACATCCTGCAGGCTGCCAGTTGCCCAGCCCTGCTCTAAAATGTGGTGAAAAAACAGTCAGTATCTGGTGTGACAACCTTTTGCCTCACGCAGTGAAACACATCTCTGCATAGAGCTGATCAGAATGTTGATTGTGGCCTCTGGAACGTTGGTCCACTTCTCTTCTTTGGCAGCAAAGCCGCTGGATTTTGTCAGGAACTGGAACACACTGTTGTATACGCCGATCCAGGGCAGCACACACATGCTCAATGTCCAAAGAGAATGTTGGCCATGAAGAACGGGATGTTTTCAGCTTCCAGAAATTGTTCACAGATTTTTGCATCATGGTGACATGATGCAACACGAGGTGATGGTCATGGATGAATGGCACAACAATGATCCTCAGGATCTCATCACGGTATCTCTGTGCATTCAGAATATGTTGTGTTTATATTTTTGTTCAGTGCATCTACAACTGATTAACTTTTGGAGTCAACACAATTCAGTTTTGCAGATATTGAGCTACAATAAGCTGTAGTAGTAGTCGTCATTCTCAACACATATTCTGAGCACTAAAAGATCTTTGTTTTAACTTTTAGTATGCTGGGTTTTTGGTGATACAGTATGCAATCCTTCATGGAGTGCTAGATTGAATGATCAAAACAATTATCAATAGTTAACGGTGCATGATACAACTAAACTGGATAGTTTCCTCAGCAGTAACGTTTCAAATAAAATAAGCTTAAATTTTCCCAAGAGCCAGATTTTGACTTGAACTCTATTTCTCAAACAAATAAATGAAATATTTGGCTGCATCTCATTTATGACATGATTGAATTTAATCCACTGACTTGAACCCAGCTGTGTCTCTTCTGAAGGCTTATTAGATGATTTGTGCCATTAAAATAATCTGCCGCCAGATGTGCTACATATTATCAAAGCAGCTGGACAGTTTGTGCCAAATATTAAAAAATGTTTACGTTTAAAGTTTGAGGCTGAGTCAGAAAAGTGTTTTTTTTTTAGAAAAGTTTGAACCTATTTGGGAAATTAAAGAGTGAAACATGAGCACACCATTACTTTAGTTGCAATTTTATTTTCTAACCCTTATATGTATAACCACCAGCTGATGTCCCATCTCATTATCATCAATAAACCTGGAGTTCAAAGGTCAAACAAGGGACTCAGACTTTAGCTTTGAGCAAGCTGGGACTTGGTCTGCAAGCGGTTCTGCTGAGGGTCGCAGGCCGGCTGTGGTCCCTGGACTTTGCTGGTGAGATGGAATTGATCTTGGAGAAGCTGATAGCATGGCTCGGCGGGATTATCCACACTATTTGTCTGGTTGGATTCGCAAACTTCAGATGTACCAGCGAACATTAAGGCAGATGAAAAAGTATCATTGTCAGCCTGACCGAAAACATTTTCTTCTGTTCCCAAACAACTGATTACAGATCCCCCCCATACACACACACAACCTTGAAAAGGCTGTGGAACCAAATTCTTCCTGGTGTTTACGTCGTCGTGCCCCCCCACCTTCCCCCTCTCACTCTTGTCTGTAATCTGATTTCTTGAAGGACAACCTGAAGCTGCACAGAATGAACAATTCAACAACAGTATTCTGAGCAATTGCTGAACTGTGGGTTTATCTTTTGGGGACTAGATTCTTCTGACTCATTCTTCAGATATTCACACAAGTGCATACAACTTTCATGGCTTCAGATACACACCCCCTAAACTCACTTACTCCTCTGGCTAATAATATAATAAATATATGTTGATAATAAATAAATAATAAATGTAATAATAAATGATAATAAATGTGTTCTTGCTTGTAGAGGTTTTTTTTAAGCACCATAGTGTGTCACCTTTTGTTGATATGATGTTTTTTTCCCTCATCTAACCATCAACCATCTACCATTTTGTTTTTATTTTTAAAGGTAGCGCGACCCATGCTGGTTGCCGCATGACCTGATCAAATGTTCCCCCATTTTTTCGTCATGTGTGTCTCTTGAATGAGTGTTCTTAAATGTAATTTCATTGTGCTCTGTACAATGGCAATCAATCAATCAATCAATCAATCAATCAATCAATCAACCATTTTTCACTGTCAACAGATAAGTGAAAACACTCAAGGCTGGACAAAAAGTGACAAAATCTTGGTACATACTCTAAGTCAAGATATTTATTCTCTCTGACATTGTTGCAGGATGAAAAATGTATCTTTTTGTTCTCACATCTCTGAGAACTTCTTCTGTGCCCAGGTTAGCTTAGTATCTTTGTGCCAAGTATTGTGTGATTGGTCAGAACTTTGTCAGTGTATTTATGCAGAAAAATGGATGAACTACACAGATGTATTTTTGTCTACATTTGAAGAGGAGATAGCTGAGACTGTTGAAAATACAGCCATCTCTTCAACTGTTCCAGCAAAACCTTTAAAAATGGTCATACAAAATCTCATGGCACAAATGTTGTGCACGGAGGAGACAGCACAGAGACACAGGCGGCTCTATTGCTGGTCTTGCACGTAATGGAGTAGACCTCAGCTGGACAGCAAAGGGACATGTTTATTAATTATTGTGCACCATTGGTCGGAAAAGTTTTGTGGTCTTTTTGCAGAAAATGTACGAATATTTTGTTGTTTTTTATCTTTAAATAATTTAGATGTGTTGTTTTTTGTAGGCTTTTAAAAGCTTTTACATGTGTCGTGTGCTGCGGAGTTCTGCACTTCAGTTTGTCTTTATGTTTAAAATATTCATGAGCAAAAGGAATGAGAACAGATGGTCTATGTCTTGTGAAGTATGTGGCAAGCTGTAAGAGATATCTATCAATTAAAAAATGTAAATATCTTTTCTTGCCCCTCATTGGGGAAAGCATTTCTCTGCATTTTTCCCATCGCACAAATGGAGCAGGGCGCTGCCATTTAAGGTGCCTGGTGAGCAGCTCAGGGGTTAAGGGTCTTTCTCAAGGGCCAAAAGTAGGGCAGATGATGGTTTTTGTTGTCAGTCTGGGAAGTTGCTCTGCTCCTTCACTCCCCTCAATGGAAAATGACTTAAATGTAAGATTTGAATCAAATAAAAACCAAAATACTTAAACTGATCTGTTGATTCTGAATGAAGTTTTGTCACTGTTGCAAAACAATATTTATTGTATTAATGATTTCAAATGTCTCAAGGAGGAGAGCTGCTTTTGCCCTTATGAACTTGAACTATTTAACGATTTGCTCAAAGATATGTGAAAAAATATATGATGTATGTATGATGATGATAAAGTGAATGACAGAATTTTCTGACCTAAATATCTGTATCTATAAAGAAAATGTTCTTTAGTCAATTATCTCGACCTTGACATTGATGAGTTCTGTATGACTTGAATGGACTTACTTACTTACTGACTTACTTACTTACTTACTTACTTACTTACTTACTTACTTACTTACTTTTACTTACTTAGTTACTTACTCTGTTTTGTTTTCTCCTTCAGCAGCAGCCAATCACTGCCTGCCTGTTCAGTGCAGCCTTCTTCGGGGCCCTTGGTTCTTCTTTCCTTTATGGCTACAACCTGTCAGTGGTCAATGCACCTGCTCTGGTGAGTCAAACTCTCAGGCTGCTTTGTTGTGAGGAATCACCATTGATTCTGTCCTGATTTCTAATTTTTCATTGAGTTAGCTGCACATCTGGAAACCAATAAACGCTCACTTGGAGTAGGACTCCAATCAGCCAGGTTTAGCTACAAATCCAACCAAATACAAATAATAATTGGTGCTGACAGATTTTCACACATTTTTATTTATTGAAAACACTAATAACTAGTACAATATTTGGACCAAATATTGTTTTGGCTGCTCCCTTCTGCAAGTGTCGTCATTGCTTTCAAATTTTTGGCAACTATTTTTACATTGGATGCTCTTACATCCTGCAGCGTCAGGATTACAAGACCCCAGCACAGACCACAGACCACAGCCCTGTTTATAGGCCACACATCATACACTGTTCAAAWAATAAAGGGAACACTTAAACAACGCACGCTAAGTCCAAGTAAATCAAACTTTTGTGAAGCACATTCAAAGTACTCAATGCGAATATTTCATTGATTAAGATTGGGAGTTAGCGTGCGTTGTTTAAGTGTTCCCTTTATTCTTTTGAGCAGTGTATATTTACTACAGTTCATTTCAAAATAAGTTATTTGGATCAGGAGATTCTTCTCATCAAACCAAGTTATGTCCAGAAACTCCTGCCTACACAAACTTGAGCCTCATTATTGTAATTGTAAAAAAAACACTTTAGATTTTTTAAAAAACTTAAATCTCACTTCTATCAAAATGTTATTAATTGGTCCCAYGGCAGCTTAGTGATTAGAATTGTTGCTTCACAGCAAGAATGTACTGAGTTCAAGCCCCAGGTGGGCCCTGGGGTCTTTCTKTGTGGAGTTTGTGTGGATTTTCAAAATAAAATACCAGATGAAACAAAGCCAAGAAAGTTCTATATGAACAGCTGCAGTATTTTAGCAGCAAAGTGATGTACAACGCAATGCAGAATGAACATTTGAAGCAGAAAAGGTCATACACAACAAAGTCCATAGTAGCAGTAAAGATGAATAAAACAAACTTTATTCTTATTAAAACACCTGGKTTGGACTGGTAACCTGTCACTCAATGACCACTGGAGGGAAGCACCAGCTCCCCAAGGCCCTGCATGGGATAGCAGGTAAACATATATATATATATATGTACAGTATATAATATGATATAATAATGTGGTTGGGATGCATGCACCCACATTCCTCCTGAGATTCAAACCAGTTAGAGGTGAAAGCRTAAAACATTGAATGACTACCTTCTGAGAGGAAACTTGGGTYCTCACATTCATGTGAAGATTACTGAAAGAAGTGCCACTGCCTGGAGATTAGTGTGAGCTAACWAAGAACACGTCCTCCTGGCATCTGCAGACATAACGAGGCATCCTGAGGAGTCACTCCTCTGAGCCTCGACAGGTCAGAACAGATTTGTTCTGGCACCGTGAGAGGGAGGCTCACCCAGTTTTATGCTGCTGGTTTGATGCTGTGGATAATCTGTGTTGTTTTGCTCAGACCTGACTTTTTTTATTCCTGCAGTCCTCTGTAGTGAAAATGGAACTTGGGCTGAGGGGGAAACACAGCAGCTAAATTCCTATTCATGCTTTTTTTTTGTTCTTAGAAGAAACCCAGTCATGACTGCATTGTGAGTGGGTGTCGCCTCAGTGCTGCTCAGTCTGCTCAGCTGCAGTTAGAAGTCAGAATCACCCGAGGAGCTGCTTGACTCAGCTTTCTCTCTGAGAAAGACTGCACTTGTRATAGAAAGTCTGGCCATCCCTCTGCTCTGGTCATTATGTCGCTGGCTGTGCCACATTCATTTGCTACACATGTAATATTATCTACAAATCACTGTCTGTGCTGCACCTGTGAGTGAGGAGAATAATTGTGCAGAAAAGCTGTGTTGTGATCTAGATATTTATGGAATGTACAGTAAGTGTCATGATGGTGAATAAAATTAGGACCAGATGAATAATCAAAACGTGAATATATATATAATTTTGTGTAATTTTCCATGATTGTCATCAAAATATGACTGATCTGTTTTACTTGTTTTTATTCACGTTACCGACTTCTTCAAAAATTATTTATCAAATTTTGCCATTAATGAATGAATACTGTTRGCAAAATATCTCAAACTAATGGATGGATTTTAATGAAACTCTCAAAGTAATCACTTGATATATACCCACAAATAATTCACTTTTGAAGTCAACCTGATTCTTTATGGATGCCAGAGTTTATCAGTCTTAGCGAACACAAAAGCATGTGCAACTAAATTATTTTATAGATATTAAGCTAAAAATTGTTGTGATATCAGCTGAAATTCATTCCCAATTAGTACTCTGAGAACCAACCAATTTCACAAAAAGTATTAATTAAGCCGTGCTTTTAACTATTGGAGTCAGCTTAGCCTGTTAGCAAAATATCTCATGAATCACTGGATTTAATAAAACCCTCAGTAAGTAGTAACTGGATGTGCATCAACAGTTTATTAATGTTTGCTGTGAACTGGTTTAAAATAGCGACCATAGCCAATTTACTTTAGGAAACACACAAATGACAATAATGCAACAAATTTTGAATATACTGAGTTAGAATTTGTTGTGGYAATAACTGCAAGTCATTCCTTACATGTACGCTAACAGAGATTAGCTTGTTGAAAATTTTGCTTTTTCCTGTAGAATTATGCATAATACTATTTTCAAGCTATAATGGAAAAGGCTATAACTTTTATTTCTCAATAAATGATGGTCTTAGTTTAAACTCATGAAATATGTCAGGGTATATGCAATCCTTCAGTGAATTTTACTTCATATATTTAGTTTTTTTTAATAACCCCTCCTGTAAAAAACTAATTTCTGCTCTTTATAACTTGTTTATAACTGAACTCCTTGAATGTTCTAGAGCAGAGTGAAGCCAAACCTTTCCTGTTCCTTTATTTCAGTCAATATTAAACACTGTGGTCAGGAGGAGGGATGCTTCTTTAATCAGATCTTATCTGTATGAGTTAAACAAACCAGACATCCTGACGTTAATCATGATTGGTCGGGTGAATTCAGGGAGGAAAAGGGTCRAGGGAACCTGGCAGCTTTGTGCAACGAGTCTAATTGAAAAGCACTGATCTTCAGAATTGGAATCACTTTGCTCTAATGTATTTCTAACGTAAGGCATGAGGATGGAACAGCACACATTTTGTTCAGAAATGTTTTCCACACAYATTAATTACTGTGGTATTATATGTGACAGAAAAATGCGAGGGATAAAAAATGGCCTCTATTAAAATTCTGTTCTCTGTATCAGGATAACAAGCTAAGAACACTGCTTTGAATAAAAATCTGTGTATAAACTGCCACTATAACCCAGGTTTAAAGGCTTTATCAAATAGTATAACACACTTTACATGTTGGTTAAATTTGACCCTGGAGAGATGGTTTTACACYGTGTTATCTTCCTCTTGACTTCACGTCTAACAGTTTACTTTTCTCCTTTCTTCTTACCTTCACAAAGCATTGATAAATTGCTCAAAAATCCATCAGCACACGAAAAAGTTGAAAGACTTGTGCAAGAACAAGACACAAATGATTATAAGAATGGTGTTCATCAAAGTCTGGGAAAAAATCAACTGAAGCTGAAGCTTGTAGTTCAGATGATGGGAAGCAAAGCAATCTTTATTCACTCACTGACAAAAAAAGTTAGATGCCCAGAAGGAACAGTTCATAAGTAGATCAGGGATGGTATAAAAATTAGTCCATTTGTAAGGTGTGAACATATGTGGAGGCATCATGAGTGGAGTGATATTGTTATCAGGCAGTTGTCACGACATTTAACAGTAGCCATGTTTCCATCAACGTTTTTTTTATGCACATCTTGAAGTATTGCATTAGAAAATGTGGATGGAAACAGAAAAACTAAAAAAACTTTCTCAATTTCGCAAAAAAAGGTTTTTACGCTCGCTTGATGTGCTTTTTCATTTTTCCGAAAAAGAGCTAATGCTCTAAAAGGAAGATGGAAATACTGTACATTTACCAAAAAAGTTCTGATGTAGGGAACTTTTATCTCACATGACTGATCAGCCCTTCCTGCTGTCCAATAATTCTACCTGCTGCTGTGTCTGCAGCTGGGCCCTTCTCCTGCTGTTGGCATCTTCCCGGTTATTCCTGTAATGCGAAGAGAATTGCATTTCTTTACTGTTTACTGGCAGCTATGCGTAACGTCAACATCTGACGTAATTACTCTTTGCGTAGCCTGGTTGATTGACTTCAAGCTGGAAACACGCCTGATTTGCATTTATCTCCCCCACCTCCCACCCCCCCTTGCTTGCAACATTTTAAAAGTTCACTCAAAATTCSCATTAAAATTGAATGGAAACACAGCGATTGTCAGAACTTTAAGTAAAGTTCACCAGGCACAGAGGATGCCTTGTAGGCGCAGTTAGACAACATTACCAACAGTTAATGAATGTTTGATGGAGGTTGCATTGTAGGTTTTAAATTAAGCCAGTTGCCAGTAGGTAAGTGAGGGGGCCCACTTATGTCATTAAGGTTTTGGTTAAACAAACCACACCAAGGAAGAATTRGCATATTGTGATCCAAACCCAGAAACGTCTATATCTTAATACAAATACCTGACTTTTTATGAGAATGTGTGTCATCCTGGTATGGTATCAGACAGAATATGGAATCATTGCCCCATTTGTAAGCAGAACATCAGAGCAGAGACGATTGGTTTGCAGTGGTATAACCAGACAGCATAGACTGACAGTTCTGCATCACCCCAAATGACCCTTGCGTGAGGGTATGGTGGCGCTGAGGGAGCACCAGTTCTGCCACTATGAAGATCTGTGCAGTCGGACTTCAGATCATGTCTGGTAGTGTTTTAAAGCAAAGTTTCCCAAACCTTTTTGGCTTCTGACCCACAAAATAACAGTCGCAGAGGCCTATGGCCCCAACTATTTATGATCAATAAACATTGGCATCAAGTCAAATAAACAAGGGTGTAGTAACAACMTTCATTAT